CAATTGGTCATGAAGTGGTATCAGCTTTTGATTTACCGTATGCTAATGATGCATGGAAAATAGCTTCAGACATCTATCCAATACTCAAAGGAATGAACAAAATAGTATCAGCGATGTGTCAAGGAACATGTACTATTGGGATTACATTGGATCATAGATCTACAAAAGCTGGTTCTCCAGATAATGAACTAAGTTGGACGTGTAAAAGGTTTACACAGCTGGCTGCTGAAGCACTCAAGAAAGAAAACACAATAGAAGCAAAAGAAGCATTGGGGAGAGAATTTCATGTGCCAGGGCATATCACTTTAACCCAAGAAAGGCAAAATGGACTAAAAGACAGACAAGGTCCTACAGAATTATCAGTAGCATTGGCAAGGTTAGCTGAAGTTGTGCCTGTTATGGTTGGATGTGTTATGTTGAGTAAACCAGGAAACAATTTTGGCGCATTGGATTCAAAAGAGGCAGAACAATGGGCATTGGAAAACAATGTGCCATTTCTGAATGGGAGACAGATTGTGCCTTTATTTCACAGTGGATTTGTATAAAACACGAAGAAAAAACATGACACTTCATATTTGACTTACTTTAGCGTACTTAACTGTACTTGTATATACATTAACGTACGTTTATATGATTGAAGGAACTTCGATGCATTTACGGTTAGTTATAGATCTTTTCAAATCAAACTTTCTACTTATATCGAAATTATATTAACCCAATAGAGTCTATATAATCAACAGGCATAATATGTAATGCACTATCAAGTTTCTGATGGACCCTTGAGGGTGTGGGTGTCGTGTCCTCTCATTTGCAAGCATAAAATCGAAATTAAAATCTGTTAAATTCAATTTTAGTTGTTTTTTAAATTTAATTTATTCAAATTAAAAAAATCTTAGGTCTGAAATTTGCGCTTTTCAAATTTCAAAAACATTTACTGATAACAACTTTAATATAAATTAAAATTTCACTTATATTTTTCAACTTGTTGATTTCTGATTTCTGAAACAAATGAACGAAACACTTGTTCGGCAAATACTATGTTTTTTACGCAATAGAAATGAAATAAATAATTATATACTAGTAGATCGGCTTTGAAAAGTATTTTAACTACGTATATAAAAGCCGTGTATTGAAAATGCAATAGAAGGGTGTCGATTTGGGGGACGTGGGTGAGTGTGGGTCTCATATGCAGAAAATTTGACACCCACATATCTACTTCTGCACCTTGAATTCTCGATTCTTTCACATAATATTTCCACTTTACGACTAGGGATGCACCGTTTTTATATTGAAACTTGCCTAACTGTTTTTGAAAGTGGTAGTTGTGATTGAGTCTTGTTTTTAATACATGATGTATCGCTCACTGTTCTGAATAAAATTAAAACACTATTTTCTTCATAAAGTTTATCTTACAATATACCCAGTCGTTTGCTTGTGCTTCTCGAACCATAATAACCCTTCCTTTTTGTGACTAAAGTCATTGACTGTCTCAGATAAACATGTGTGTTAACCAAGCATGAAACTGCTTCCTACAAGAAAGTCTCAATACGTTAGTAAGAATCTGGATGCGAGAAAGCACGTCTCGCTGTATGGATATGGAGTATAAGCGACGTGTAGGGCTGTGGGTGTCGGTGCAACTCACACGGAAAACAAAAACCGTATTTACACCCACACCAACCCACCTTATCTACATGATTTATTGGTACATTTCTATTAAATTCTTTCCAAAAATAGAACTACGATATTTGAGACACAACCGAAAATATGTCAGAGAACATATAAAAATCGAGAAGATCTCTTATCTATATATTCTGCTGGAAAAACCATAGTTGAATTTCACATTTTAAGTAAATTACTAGTATGCCTTTGGCTATGGATCGGGAGCTGAGAGTTTAAGAGTCGTCTCCACATTCACCCATACTCCAGACGACTATTGACCACTGACTTTGACACTCATGCCACTTTTCATATAGAAAGGTTTCCGTGTGTATTTCGAAAATTTCAACAAAAACCATATGAGTTTTTCCAGCAAATGCTATGATCTCAAATCCTGAAAGAGCATCGACTGAGGTTGTTTTCGTGAACAATTTCAGTCTAAACTTGTTTTGAAGATTGACGACCACAATATGTCACTCAATAATTAGAACTCGATCATGTACTGTCACGTAGCACTGCACTTTCTGCTACATAAGCTTGTTGGCGTAGTCTGTCTGAGGCTGAAATGTGGAACTCATATGTCTTGTTTAGCTTTATTATACTAATACAAAATACTCAGTGTAAAATCTGTAAAAGACCATACTTCTTTTCCAACGATAATCGATTGTCACCACACGCTGTCTTTTCTATTTCTACATTTTGAACAGAAGTTTTGCTTTATTTTTTTTTTGACGGGCGTCTTTTTTACTTATCTTGTTGCTATTTGCATGGTATTGATTTCCTTCCTTTTTAATGAAATTGCATAAATTAGTATTATTGATCTAGCCATTCATTTGATGAACAAATAAGCCTATTGGTACACATTCATTATATCTGCAGCAGATCTTAATAATCTATTATGTATCTCAATAAACTCAAAAAGACTAAAACTAACTATTCCTGAAAAATAGAATTTAATCAGTTCATATTTTGCTGTTACTCATGTGAAAGTTGTGGAAAATCTAAGCATCATTCTTGATATCTAAGATACAATCGTTTATCTGCAAACAAATCACAAACTTCTTTATTTATAGAATTGAAAAATGTATTCCAAC